AATCACTGAACAATGATTCGCCAACCACCACAGTTTCCATCCTGGTCCATTCAAAATCACCTCTACGATGTCATGAAACATTTGAGATAAAAATGATCCGAATCATATTCTTTTTTCGATGCATCTGCTTTTCTTCAGCTTGGTATGAAACAGCAATATTCTTTGGGCCGACTTATTCGCGAGCGATACATCGAGAGTGCCGAACAACCATTGTTATCTCCGACATATAATGCAAAAGAAGTTCGTGGCATCTCCTATTTTTTAAAGCTCTCTGTAATCTGTTACAGATCACACCTGGAATTTTTGCTTAGATTAGTCTGCTGTATTGTTGAACCACTCGATGATTTTATACTGACGCACAGTTCTGCATCTCAATCGCGATCACTGATGACTATAAAGTAGTAACTTTTCTATCGCATCATTTTCACTTTGTTTTATTAGCAGTGAACTGCCCACTGCTCAGATGCATTCATTTCAAAGCCAACAACATTTCGGAACTTGAAATGAACAGTTCTAACGAGCAAATATTGTCAACCACAGATATACGTTCGCAGCACAGACGTTAATCGAACGTTGGTCAGTGCAATGTCCAATTTGGCTGGAATGTACCCTTACGGTGTTCCCGGATCAGACTACCCACATATTAAGAACGGTAGCTGGCCAGCTCACTGGACTCCAATACCTGTGCATACCGTCGAATTCGAAACAGATCACGTGAGGTGTTTTCTTGTCATACCGCATAGAGTGATATAAGTTTTCGCAGTAAATGAATGAAACTTGAGATTGTAACGTCCATACGATGATATCAGGTGACCATCGTTCTCGATTGTAATTTACTGTGTTAAAATTTCAGTAAAAGAAGGAAGTGTGTTTAAAAACATCCCCTATGATTTCGCCGGAAGCAAAAAAATTGTTTATCCGCGTTTAAATTGCAGATCGGTAACGCATTGGCAAAATGTGATCGCGCGCTACAACTGGAGGAACAAACTCGTTCCAGTAAATTGTACCAAAAATATGCGATGGATAATAAGGTTGGTGGTAATTGTTTGATAGTCTGTAGATTTGTTGGTATGAACCGATGCAAGGATTCAGAATTGCTGGCTAGCCGTAATGAGAAATTTTATGTTGGAGTGCCACAATATTCTCCACTATTTTCAAGCTTATTCGCTCTCAGCGTAACATTCCGTTTATTTATTGAGATCGTTGATTTTGTTGTTGTCGTAGTTGCTGTCTATCTGCTTCTAATTCTTCTTCACGTACAGTTTCGTTTGTTAGGCATTCTTCGAATTCCTTTCCGAAAAGACCGGCATGCACGTTTGGCTTGAAAACATCTATATGATCAACGACATTCATTTAATTGAGGTACTCTTTACAATCTCATCGAATTTGCTTCCTGTCATCAGAATGGTCGTTCACCAATGTTTATCAGAAAAAGATAACATT